TCCATCTATTCAACCCATGGATAAGTCCACTACTCACCTTGATCAACGGCCCATCATGCTAACGACATCATCTAGCCCGATCCAAAATGTGCCCGCCTCACCAGTTACGACTCAATCTAACTTCCATAGCCCGCCTTGTTCTCACCTTCTGCGACCAGAACCCGTGCTGTCCTGTCCACCAAAGGGCTCATCACCTACTGACCCATCTGGCATGACACATACGACTACAGATGCTTCACTAGAGCCTATTGTCCCATCTGGTCCACTGCCACTTTGTACTCATCCAATGATCACAAGAGGCTTGAATAATATTCGAAAGCCCAAACGGATGTTCACTGCCACCAAGCATCCAATGCCACAATCTATTGAACCTACATGTGTGGGACAGGCTCTGAAGGACTACCACTGGCGTCAGGCTATGAGTGATGAGTTCAATGCACTTGTTCGCCATAGGACTTGGGATCTTATTCCTAATTCATCGACAATCAAACCAATTGGATGCAAATGGGTATTTCGAGTGAAATGACATCCTGATGGATCCATTGATCGTTATAAAGTGATAGTTATTGTGTGATGATTTTAGATTTATATATGTTTATGTGGTAGATCGAATGGAGTGTCAAAGGTGGCTCTCTTAGAAATATTGAGTTTGCGCGTGTCTCGAATAAATTAATGCCCATTAACTTTTTGATCTCCGTGCATGCAAATGCATGCCGTTAAACTTTACCAGGATAAAGGTTGTCATTATCTCAGATGAAATTCCATGTACATGGTATAAATTTTTTATTTGATTTTCAAGTGTTAAATATTTAGCATCTTCTCCATGTCTTATTCTCTTGATCTCATAACACAATAATTAGGGAAATTAGTCACTCCAAGAACCATATCAACTTAAGCATTTTTTTTTTCTGAATTAGGATTGGGATTGCTTGCGATAAAGCTTCGGTATATTTTCTAATTGAAGTTAGGAATTTTTTATGGGCTTGTTTGGTAATGATTATGAGAATTGATTTTTTGACTGTTAGGAAAAAAAGTAGGTCCTACCTGTGAAAAAAATCGAAAATGAAGGCTGACTTAAACAAGTAACGGTCAAAAAATTGATTTTTTGGGGTGAAAAATTAGGACCAAACATGCACTATATTGTTAAGTATTTAACACAAACTGATGACTAGAGTCTTATGCCCCATTTGGTAGTGATTTTTCACCCCTAAAAATTGATTTTTTTGACCGTTATTTAACTATATTAACCTTTATTTTTTACTTCTTCACTCACATGTGACCCCACTTTTTTCCTTAATGGTCAAATAATCCATTCTCAAAATCACTATCAAACGGGCCATTATCCCTTTTCCGGTGTGTATTTTAACAGGGCATTAGTCATTTGTTGCATAGAAATTTGAAAAAATATTTTAATCGCATATAAATCAATTAATTGGTCAAATCTCTTTTTATTGCCACAGAACTCTGACAATGGGTCAAATGCAAGGGAAGTTTCAATAACCTTGCTATATCTACACTATGATGTATATTTTAGTTTACACTTTATCACGTGTCATTATCTTATTGGACAATTTAAATTTCAAACAGTTTTTTCATTCAATTGACACTTGACAACAATGTAAGTGTCTTCAAGTTTCAAATGGTAGTTGTCCGGCTTGTAGGCCATGCCATACGGGTACCGATCCAGTTATCTTCATGGCAACCGTTCTTTCTTCTTACTGAAATAGAAAAGAATATATGTTTTGAAATCTCGAATAAAACAGGAGAACGTGCCTGAGGAATTCGCTACATTGGTGCTAAATTTTTTACATCGGAATTGAATAGGCCCTCATGGCGTTGAGATCAGTGTTCTCTCAGTTATCTAGAAAAACTAACCGTTCTTTCATTTTTCATGTGGATCAATGTACTAAAATCATGAAATCACATTCTTACAAGGAGATTGTATTTTGCAGATTCCAGGGATTCTTCATCCGTCAGTGTCGAAACCATGAGCCATGAGATATGGATTTGCTCGTTTGGATCGTCAGCAACGACAACTGTGCCAGCAACTGAATAAATATTTTCGCTAAGATGATTGAAAACTCGTATATGCTAACAACAGACATCCCAAGTGTGTGGTAGTGCTATGCTTTAACTTGTAACTTTTGGACCTTGGATGAACTGTGTTCTCTGAAAAGAAAATGGATTACGGGAGTGTAACTGTAATGTATTATAAAAAATAAAAAATAAAGTCAAGTCAAAGATGCTAAGCTTTAATTAAAAAAAAAAAAAAAAAATTTCCAAAACGGTGAGGCGGTGAATTGGATTATATATCAATCCAATTCACATTTAAAGAAATCAAAACCCATTTCAAATTCAGAGAAACAAGAACAGTGAGAAAGAAAGAGAAAAAGAAAGAGAAAAGAGAAAAGAGAAGAGAAAAAAAAAAGGGAATAAGAAGAAATAAAAAACAGAAATTTTTTGTCAACGTGTTAGAAATTAAGTGGTTTACATTGTTAGGCTTGAATTCCACAATTTTGAAAGGTAAGTAAAAAGTTACTTATTGTCAAGTTGTGTTTGATTTTATAGTTATTAGATTGTTAGATTAAATTTAATTTTATTGAAGGGGTTAAGTATAATAAACTATGAAATTGAATAAGATGAAAGAAAAACTAGTTTTAGTGATTAAAGAGACTTTAGAAATCGCTTAAATGTGAAACGATTAAGTTTGGGTATTGCTTATTTAATTATTGAAATTATTTAAAATAATTAATTGTTTATTTAAAAATTATATCGTATTTCAGGCGACGATACTGACATTAGAACAGCTTACCAACTGGGTTGATTTTGCGAATATAGTACTGTGAGTGAAAAAACTTAAATATTTTTAAATTGTTTATAAATTAAGTATGTATGCAATTATGCGTTTGATTTTATGATTATTATAGAAGTTTCTTTTATTATGATCCATGCGGAATTTCAAGGATTGTTTATTGTACATATGTGACTTGGTATATGAAACATGTGATATTGAGATTTGTTTGGTCTGTGAGACGTGATATTGAGATCGACCAGAAAAGTACTCGTGATTATATACTTCTTCTAGTTCACAGAAGGACCTTGACCGTATTCTAGAATTGATTATGAGAGGTCTTCAAGACCGGCTTTCGTTCACAGAGGGGCCAAAGGCCTGTGGCGAAAGTTCTTAGCACGAGGAGCGAATTATATATTTCAGTCAGATGATACATTTTTGGTGGATTTTTCAGTATGTTTGATGTGATGAGATTATAGCATGGTTATCAGCTGATATATCATGATTTTAATATAATATTTTACGACCTTATGTGGATATTTCACTTTTGGTTATAATTACATGGTGTTATCTTGTGAATTATTAAATGATATGAGCTCGATTTTCGATAAAAATGTAAAAATGAAAAAGTATAATTAATTTCGAACTTCTCCACTCACTGAGCTATGAACTTATATTTTCCCGTAATTTCTATACGGGTGGAAATTGATTATTTTTAGCTGGAAGAGTCTAATAATTTACAAATGAGAGCCACACGACATGTTGAATATTATAATTCATATTGATGAAGCACGAAGTAAATATTTTTGACCCATCGCATTATATTTTATATAAGCATTTGATTTTGTTGCATTTTTGAAATAACTCATAGTCAGCCTTTGTAATAGATTTGACATCTAGTCAGCATCTATCAACGACGCACATCACATTTCGAGTTCACTAGGATGACTCGGGACGAGTCGTGTCAATAACTGGAACTAATGATTTCTTGATTACAGCAAGGGGAAAAATACATAAATAAGTTTGTATCAAGATAACAACTCAAATATAAGAAACTTGTTTTAAAATTCCAAAAATCAGACTATAAATAGGTTATTTATGATAATGAAAGATATTCAAAAAGATTCTCCCCTTAAATCAAGGAATTGGTTATACATTCTTTCTAAAAATCATATGTATAAATTAAATAAGTAAATTAAGTATATTTAGCAATTAAATAAGTTAAGACCATTGTAACATACAATTTATAGCCACGTACTAGTCATAATCATCGTACGTCAAATCACAAATTTTATAAGTCGCAAATTATTTATCGATTACAAATGATCAAAATAATGAATTATAATGTATTTTTCAATTATAAATCACAAATTTTATAGACCACAATTGATTTCATAATCACAAATTAACAAATTAATTGATCACGATTTATTTATCAATCACGAACACAAATGGAATTTCAAGGGCTAATACATTCATTCTGTTACAGCGTTCTCGTGTTCATTTGGAATATTTCATTTTGCCACGGACAACACCTTTTTAAAGAGAAATGAATACAATGACAAGTATAGGAAACGTGGAGCACAGCAGACCATCCAATGATCTATTTATTATTACAAAAAAGAACTATTTTTGTCTTCTCCTAATAAGGCATATTATGCCTCTCAACTGCAAAATGATAATGTACACAAATATGATGAAGATTCATTGAGATGTCGACTCTTTCAGATAAGCAATGAGGTCAGCACGGTCTTGCGGTTTCTTCAGTCCTGGGAAAACCATCTTTGTTCCGGGTATATACTGCATTGGAAAAATGGAAATGAATAAAATAGAAAAGCAAAGATTTCCAATTATTGCCCATGAAAGAAATTCTCATTCCACTAGATGTAAGCGACCTCAATGTAAAACCATCCCATGTAAAAGCAGTTCAAGAGGAAACACGTATAGCTATAAAAATTCAATCTTGTTACAGTGACAGGTTCAGTGATAGAGAGGACACGTGTCAATGCATGATTGGACAATTTTTTGGAGGGGGGTACACCCAATCACTGTCTGCCACACCACCTTGTCACCTTCATCATTGTCACTGAGCCTGGCCAACTTTCATTATTCATAAAAATTTAGCCTCCAACAGTCCCTGGCTCACATGCCAGATTCCCTTTTTCCTTTTTGTTTGTTTGTTTTTTGTTTTTTTGTTTTTTTGTTTTTTTTTTTTGGGTTTCAACAAACACCTGCAGAATTTCTTGGCAACTAGATTCGACATGAAGACCTTTGCAACTATGATACCATGATGAACCACCTTATTTAATATAACCGTACCCTAGTTTTGAGAGGAGCCATATTACATCTTTAAATAATGTTCCCAGGGGAGTGATGCAAAGGTTTCAGAGGCTCAATATACAATTTGACCTCCATTTACCTCAGCTAATAGGTTTGGTATTTTATAAATAGTCCCACCTAGTTTGAAACCAAAATTTCCTTCTTTTTCATTTTAGTATATATTTTGTCTTCCCTGTAGGACACTATGACTTCAAATCTGTTTCGTTAGAGGTTTAACTTTATATTCACAATTCATCCAATCAATTGAGTGAATAAGATCGAGAAGTGGAGTAGAGTATCCTACGTTATTCAAATCATGGGCATCTTTCTTGTAACTTCAACAGCAAGATGCTCAATGTGAAGCGAATTGTACTCAACTTGGCATAGATTAGATTACTGTCTTAAGATGAACTTCTTAAGAAAAACTTAAGTACACGAGGGAATACAAAAAAGGAACCCCTAAAACAAAGGCTTCACAAATTTTATTGACCCCCTGATTTTGGCTCCCATTACTCAAAATAATTTTTCCCCAAAATCATCTTCAGCTACACATTTTATGAGACCCACAACTTTTATCAACTTTTCATCAACAAATTTCATTAACTTTTAACAAAATTTTTAGCAGATCTGATTTTTAGCAAAACCAAACAGGGGCTAAATATGGTCTAAACAGACTCGTACCTTCTTGGGATTCAGCAAGTAATCGTACAGTGTCTTTTCCTCCCAAATAACAGCCCTGTTTTTGTTAGCAGCAGAGTAGGAATAACCAGGCGTTGTTCCAGATTGCCTTCCAAAGAGACCATTCAAATTGGGACCTGAAGGCATAGGCATTTCATTAGATTACATAAACAGCAGAAACAAAAACTCCACATAGGAATTTTTTTCCGAAACAGTAGGAGAAGTATTTCGTCTTTACCATCAACAAATACTTGCTATATCTACTACAAGAACTTAATGTGTGACCGCAGAAGACATGGGTAAAGATGGAGAACAATTCCAAACTATTGAAAGTAGAGCTACTGGAATTGGAAAATAATGTGATAATGGGGCGTGTTGAAGCATTTGAGAGCAAGATGAAAATTACTCCTAATAATGATCAAAAGAAGAATGACTTCGATTTCTTCTCCGCTCAGTTTTATGGGTGCCTTCTATTTGACTAGGAAACAATGGTATTTAGCGGGAGACAGCAGAAAGATACCTTCCTCTCTTCCAACTTGTATTTCTTCTCATTTTCTGTTTCCTACTGAGGATTTTCTGGTTTATGATAATAACCTCAATCTGATGACAGGGTGGGGTGGGGGTCAATGAGTCTAATAAAAGCGATAGTGCCATCCTAATAATGGAATAGGACATCATTATACCACAATCGTTCAAAAAATCAATACGAAAAAATGCATCAAATTCTACAGGATCAAACCTATGCAACTAAAGAAATGATTAGAAAACCATACATATAGATGCACAAACATACCAACATTAAAGGAATTAACCTGATGCAGAATCTTTATCCTTTTGTCCCCCATTTTTAGACAATAAAATGAATGCTTCAACACACAGGGGTCATTCAAATTCTAGGGGAAAAATGAGACTTTCTTAATTCAGTAAAATATTCTATCCACATCTAAACCTTGTTGTCCAGTACCTAGACATCAACAACCCATTACCAGATGGTATATAGCCCCCGTTTAGCCCCCATTTTCTGGAAATGAAAATGAGTGGAATAGTGTTTTTTTGAAAAATGAGTGGTTGAAAAGAATGAAAAATTTTCGATTTACGTGTAATATTATTTTATAAAAGATTGTGTGGTTGAAAATAAGAGAGAGAAAAATGGAATGTAATGTAATGGAATTTAATGGGGGCCAAACGGGGGCATAGTATATGCCATAATTATTCCTCAATACCATCAAGTTGAACATAGCCTGGGATACTTCTCAAACAAAGGATATGTCCACACCCACTCTAATATTTATTTTCTTCTCTTTTCTTATTTCTTCCCCTGCTTTAGATCTCACTCCTTTGTATACATATCATATATTTTAGAGCTCATATTACCAGAGGTTCATCTGAATTACTGAATGGAGACACAGTCAGTTCTATTCAAGAATTACAAGCTGGAAAGTACATTGAATGATTTGTTAGATAGTTGTAAATTTTCACCGTAGTTGGAAAAAATGGTGGTAACAACCATGGAACAATGATACTCTAATTCATCGCCTCGTAAGCTAGTTGCGTCACCCAACTAGCTAATCACACCAAAGCCACAACCTGTTTACAAAAGGTAGTGGATACCCTTTCGGACTTCATTTATTTTCAGTCTAATATATAAAAACAACAGCCACCCGTTTTCTGCTGTACAAGAAGCCAATGCAATTATTTTCAGTTGCCCCTAGTAATTTTGGCTTGCTTATAGACGCATTTATGTATGAGAAAAGACAATCTTCATATACTAATAGTCAAGCAATCTTCTTATTGTTCTTCTTCCCCACCCAATATATCCTAAACTAACCAAGAAAATACAATAGCGAGTCCTGTTCAATGAAGAACTCAAAATTCTATAATTGAAGAAAATAGAAATATCTTTACAATTCCAGCTACTGTGTATTAAAAACCACAAAGCCTTGATTTTTCAGGGCCTTGAATCAACTAATAAATAAATAAAGAGCACAATAGATCAGATTTAACAACAAAATAAAAAACTAAGCCTTAGAACGACAGATCAGATTAACCAATTACAAAATTTAATATATATTTATATATACACCTTGTTTGTGGCCAGCGCCTTTTTCAACAGTGTGACACTGGGCACACTTGGTCTTGAAAATTTTCTCTCCTGCCTTTGAGTTTCCAGGTGGTGCCTCTTCAAATGATGCCATTTTCTTCTATAATTTTTTGTGGGCTTTTCCACTCTCCGATGATTATTATTATTATTTTTCGGGAGAGTTCTGGTTTGTTGCTTTGAGCAGTAAGGAGACGACGAAAGTGATGCTCTTTTCGACGGTCGCGGTGAGACAGGAACAGAAGGGTCATGGTGTACCAAACACCCTACGAATTCAGATTACACGTGGCAATGCATTAGTGGTTACCTTTTTGTATTTTGTAATTTTATTTTAGGAGCATTTTTAATAATGTCTAATTTTATGGGTACGAGTTGAAAAGTGTTCACTCATTTGAATTTAGTACCAACTTATTTATTATGTCCTTAATAAAAAGTTATATTTTAAAATGGTATTCTCGACATTTTAAATGTCGGTCTGGGCATTTGATTTTTTTATCAATTTGTTACGAATTTTGAGAAGTGGCTTCCATGAGAAACTACATTAAAATAATGTTTCTCGATATTTGAACACCGTTTCATTTGTCTAGAATGACATTTATTTGAACATAACATTTAAAAATATCGTTCGCGACATTTCTGAATCAATGAAAAACATAATATTTATTGTGATTTGAAACTATACTTTTTGAAATAAATATGTCATGTTATGTGTCAAAATTTTATTGGCCAATAACAATATTGCAAAATGTCCATTTTTTTGTCTTAGTGTGAAATTATAAATTGTTAATAGGGGTATTTTGGTATAAATTCTTCCAAATTAGACATTTTTACAATGGTGGACATTTTTGTAAATGACTAAATAAAAATGGATATTTTGTGAAATTTCCTCTTTATTTTATTTTTGTGATTCTTCTAATGATTTGCAATTTGATAGAACAATTAAACTCCTTGTACATAAACTCTTTTACATATTTATTGACATATGCCGAAATGACATGTATTTGGTCCTTAATTTGAATAAGGCCTTGCTTGAGTCCTATTATTTCCTCATTAAAATGAAAAATATTACCGTTATTCATCACATCAAGTCATCATATTTGACTTTTTATCTCTTATGTGGGGTTCATAACGATTATATTCTTCATTATTATTTTTACAATAATATGGCTCAAATGGGGGCTAAATAAAATTCAAATCAATGACCAAAATGCACGTCACCTCAACATCTATCAAACAATTTGTTAAAAAAAAAAAATAATTGTACAAGTAGCATGACTATTGATAGAAAGCTCCCCAACTCAATTAATGTTTCATTTCACCAAACACCATTCGATGGATAGAGATTAGACCTAAAATATAAAGATGGATTAAACAATACAAATTTTAGACAAGGTTGAATGTTCGAGTCGTGATCTATGCAAGGTTGTGTATTTGGAAGAAGTAACGAGAGGTTGGCTTGATATTTATTCATGTTAGATCGTGTTATCTTGAGGACAATATTCATACGATTGTTATTTATTTTGGACTATTATATTGAAAGAATCATAGTTATTAAAATCGGATAGGACTGTCCGGTTTAGACTGGAAACCACCGAACTGGATAGTGGTTCGGTCCAAGTTCATTAGTTAGAATAACAAACAAAGGAACTGGTCAAGAATCAAGTTGAACCGCTCAAAATCCACCTAAACTGGACGAGTTTAAGAGGTAACAGATCCAGTTCAATGTTTGAACCGACTAGTCACCAAAGTAAATTGTAATTTTTTTTTTAATCAAATTGGAAAGAAGCTAATTTGAACCTAGGCCTCTTCCTTGGAATGTCATGTCCTTCACCATTTTAAATAGTGTTGTCCTTCAGTCTCAAATGTGTAGCAAATATATATATTTCAATTTACAAAGTACAATGTAAAATCCCTTTTCCCAACTTGCAAAGAGGATGATTCGGACATTGGGTTCCTACATGAAAATTTCCGTCCTTCACCATCTAGGAAGTTGGTGAAACTCCATGTGACAAGCAAGCCAAACATATATATCTAGATTTAGCAATTTTTTTTTTCCAAAAATATATTTTAATTAAAATTATGATCTAACAATGATCCACTGATTCAACCATTGATCCGGTGACCTGATGACTTTCCCAGGTCGACCATGGGGTCGAGTCTAGTAACTATGGATAGAATATATTGAATGAACTTATTTCTTTATAAATCAAGATCCTAATATGTAGAACAATCACTTAACCTGTTGAAATGATAGTTTTGGGGCGTTTGTTTCGATGTCGGAAGTATTAAGATATGCATGGCTTCTGTGCTTGTTAAATATTTTTGTGAAATGTTTTTGGCTAACAGTGGCAACTTAGGTGGTAATCATATGCTATGGTTTTGATCCCATTTACTTGTTACCAAAAAATTAAAAAAGACATTACACTGACCATACTTGCATTATTATGTGAAGCTAGCATTGAGTAATTCGACTCTATTTATTACCAATGTCTAGGAGATGATCTATTGAGAAAAAAAAAGTTGTCTACAATGAATAGTAAATGCTACGTTCGATAACCAAAGAAAATATCACAGAAACGATCGAGGAGACATAAAAAAATACAACAAAGTGTGATGCTGTAGTGACAAAATAACTATAAGCACTGTTTTGTCCGATTAAGCCTTTTACACTTGATTGTAGATTTAAATTTCTAGTGAGGGTAGTTATACTAGATTAAACTTGACGGTTAAGATGTTCAAACTTTGAGAGAATCGTCACAACCATGCTGACCTATTATTAATTATTATGACACTGCTTACTCATTTTTTTGTGATTATTACGCTTTTAGCATTGACTGCTTAATCAATATAATTATTTTCATCGTGACTAATCTTTTTTTTTTTAATGGAATATGCCATGGACGCCCTCGATGATTGACGTGCCTATTAATTTAAATTCGATATGTTTATAAATTTATTTAGTTTGAAGTTAGTTCTATATAAGTCAATAATAATAACAACAAAATAATAAAGTTATAATTAGTTTAATTGTTTAATAAATAATAAAGGGAAGTAAGATTTTGACCTGCATGGTAGAATTTTAATTTAGACGTATAATTAGCAAATTAATATATAAACAATACACTTCTACAAATGTGATCAAAATTGGAAATAGTTAATCGATACAAATTATCCTTATAAAGATGCATTTATGTTAGCGATGCTTTATAAATGGAAAAGGTCATAAATATGTTCCAACCTCAAAAGTACTCGTTTCATCGTCTACCTCTTTCTTAAGAATAAGTTCAAACACTACTATTGTATGGTATTCAGTTTTGCTTTTTTTTTTTTTTTTTTTTTTTTTTTTTTAAATACTACGTTTTCATCATTTTGAGAATTTAAAGACAGATTGATGTGAAACCATTATATAATTACTTAAGCAAATGAAAAGTTTTATTTACTCTTACATGCTTTTGCTTATATAAATATGTGTGTGTGTATATCTGTGTGAGTGGGTGTGTACATGTATAGTATATAGATATGAGTGTACTTTGATTTGTAAGTTTTTATGCATAAACCTGCATGGGCATGTGTGCATATGTATGAGCAGGGATGGAGTCAGCACTCGACAAGCAGGTGCGATCACTCATGTTGGCTCTATCGGAATCGTCAAAAGCCAAAACTTTTATGTTTCTCTTTGCATCAGTGAGTCGTGACTTGCTGTCAATCGTCAATTGTTGTCGCTAGCCTCTGCCACTCCATCACCCTTCTGTCGACATCACACCCTTTCGTCTATGAGCCTCCACCGTTCCTATTGGTTGCTATCGCTTGCACGTGGATGTGACCATCTATATTTATTTTAGTTCATGGTAATGGTTCGAGTCAATTGTGATGATTCATGATTTTTGGAAATTGGAGAATTTGTGAATATGTCAATTGATAAATGATAAATTGGAGATTTTGTGATTTGTGATAAATGTAGATTGGTGTTGGAAATTGAAATTTGATAATAGTTTAAATTGATGAGATCTGGAAAATTCAATTGTTTGAGCTTATAGTTTCGAAGTGAGGTTGTATCATGATATTTATGTTTTAGTGCATTTATATATTGATTAAATACTTTTTAATATTATTTAGTTAAATAATAATAATAAACAATCTCGTTATTGCGATCGTTGATGATGGTCAAATGTTAAGGATTGTCCTAGCTCATCATCAATCCTGTACCCAACCATGTGAATGAGTGTATTTAGATCGATAAGTTTGTGGATAAAGGTGTCAGTATACATATATATGGTGTGCATGCGTGTGTGTATATATATATGTTAAATAAATATTTATAGGTATAGGTGTGTGCATGTATCTCTAATGGGATGGAAGCCCATATGTAAATTTTGTGCACACATTATTTTGCATGTGTATAAATGTGTGTGTGTTCAAATAAATGTCAATGTGTGTATATCTTAATGTATATGTCTGTATATATAATTGTTTCTTATACACGTGCATATTATTTCTTGAATTAGGAGTAAATGGATTACTATTTCAGCAATTATTGAACCAACTAGAACTTATTTTGGTTAAGGATGTCTTTAATTGTAGGTTTCACTTTAAGTTTTTATTTACATTAACACTTTTCAAGTAAGGTTTTATAATGATACTATTAAATAAATTAATTTACTAAAATAATGTTATAGGTTCGTAATTAAGGAGTGGCTATTGTCAAAACTTCTAAATGGTAATGAATAAGGATTTCGGCACGCCAACTTCGGGGGTGACTTAGGATATCTCCACTTGCTATTCTAAAAGTTTATTTCTACGAATTTTAAGTAAGTAAACCTCTCACTATCTTCACGTGTATATTACATAAGTTAAATATATAAATGTTGTACCTAAATTGGTGATTATGTGAACATGATATTTAATTATTATGTTTTATGTCATTAATGCTTTCATGACATATTCATGCATGTCAATGCATGCATAAGCATGCATGGAATTTCAAGAAAGAAAAGTTTTCAAATGTCAATGAGTCAAAGAATGTTTTTAAATATATGTATCCTAAACGTTGTGTTAAGTGGTGTATGTTTATTCCATGATAGGTGTGAGCAGAACATGAGGTGTGGGAGATCAGTGCATGGACTAATGTTCAATGTTAATCCTAATGTTAACTACTTACAATATTACCCGTAGAAATGAATCGGGTTCCAAATAATAATTGCACACTGCATTTTGATTGGTTAGGCAATAT